GTGGTGGTTAAGGCACTGGACACTCCCACATGGCCAACCACAGTTCGAGGCCTGGACCTGGTGGCTTGCTTTCTCACTTTCTCTATCTCCCTCTGTGTCTCTCTCTGGTCAAATATAAAATAAAAGAAAGAAAAAATGAATGAATGGAAAAGAAAAAAAGAAATCACCCTCTGGGAATATTCAAGCTGCTGGGTCTGGGACTCAAACTGTTCTGTTGGCCATGTGGGGTACAGTTACCTTACCTACCATGCAGCCTGAATAGCCTCTACCAAGTTCTGATTGATTAATATTTATCAGGACCTCTTAAAAAACTAGAAATTATTAGGCCATATCATCAGTGGCTTAATCATCATTCTGGGTATGTGGGGTTTTTTTTCTTTTGAGGTCCTATTTTTCCCATAATTCTCTGTAAAATGAGAATTCTCATGCTTGGATCATTGAAAAATATTTCTACTGTCTCTCATTTCATAGAAAACTTTCACTTGGGACCAGCAGTTAGCGTAATGGCTATGTCACTGGACTCCCACGTAGTCAACCACGGTTCGCGTCCCGGACCCGGTGGCTTAAAACTCACGCCGGGCGCATGTGAGTGCGTGCCCAAGATCCCGAGAGGAGAATGGAGGAGAAGGGATTGCGGCATGGCCATCCCCCCTGGGGGGTGATTTCTCGGTTTCTGTCTCTCTGTCTGCCTGGCAAACACACGCGCCCTATAGCAAAAACCTCTAAAAAAAAAAAAAAAAAGAAAACTTTCACTTATTTAATTGAAAAATAAAGAATTAATGAAATCTCCAGTACTAATTAAATATTTTTTATTATCATATGCTGTTAGACAGTACTCCAACGTTATTTCCTTCCCAGGTAGAAATACAGATAAAGAAAATGATAAATATTAATTATTTCTCATATTTTCTTTCTTCTCAGTTTGGCCGTCATAGATTAAATCCAGAAAACAGAACATTGGGGAGTCTTCGAAATGTTCTCTATCTTCTTCACCAACGAGTAAGGTGAGCTTTGCAGGTACCTCGCACTCTGTCCTCTTTCAGTATTGTCTCTGCCAGGAAGTGTTTGGATTTGCTTCCTTATACTACTGCCTTGGCAGTGGCAGCCTCAAAAACCCCTTCCACTTCCACATGGCTGACCACAGTTCAAGTCCTAGACCTGGTGGCTTGCTTTCTCATTTTTCCTCTCTCTCTGTCTCTCTCTGGTCAAATTAAAAAAATAAATGAATGAATAAATGATATGAAATAAATAATTATTAGAAAAAAAAGTTCGTGGAGGGACCAGCAGTTAGTGTAATGGCTATGTCGCTGGACTACCATGTAGTTGACCTTGGTTCGCTTCCCGGACCTGGTAGCTTAAAACTCACATCGGGTGCATGTGCGTGCATGCCCAAGATCCCGAGAAGAGAATGGAGGAGAAGGGATTGCAGCGTGACCATCCCCCCTGGGGAGGTGATTTCTCACTTTCTGTCTTTCTGTCTCTGTCTGTCTGGCGAGCAAAGGCGCCCTATCGCAAAAAACTCTAAAAAAAAAAAAAAAAAAAAGAAAAAGAAAAAGAAAAAAAGTTCGAGGAGAATGTTCACTATCAGAAAACTATTGGGCTGTCTGTGTAGCCTCATGATTAAGACAGCCAGATCCCACATGGCCAACTGCACAGTTGGGGTCCCAGACCCAGGGGCTTGAGAAACACTCCAGGTGCATGTACATGTGTGTCCAAAATCCCAAAAGGAGGGAGAAATGGAGGAGAAGGGATTATGGTTTGACCATATGGGGTGTTTTCTCTTCCTCTCTCTGTCTCTGGCAAACCCATGCACCCTTTAGCAAAAAAAAAAAAAAACAAAACAAAAAACAATATGTGGATTTCAAAATTTTTTACACCAAAAAAAAACTTGTACCTTAATTCTATTTTTTCATGAACTTTTTTGAAGTACCCTTTTAATAATTATGGTAATGATGATGGAAAGAGCAACTGATACTTTCAAGTGTTGTGGCAGACACTGAGCTAGAGGCCACACCTGGGCAATCTCCTTTCATCCTGGCAGTAGCTCTATGAGGCAGGGACTATTAGCATTTCCCTGTTTCACTTAAGCTGATATTAGGGAAGTCAAATAAGTCAGAGACCTCCTTTGAAGCAAAAGCTGCTATAATTTTATTATGGTCCTACATATAAGATACTTTAAAAATAAATGTGTTATAGGGAACCAGCAGTTAGTGTAATGGCTATGTTGCTGGACTCCCACGTGGTCGACTGCGGTTCGTGTCCCGGAACCGGTGGCTTAAAACTCACTCTGGGTGCGTGTGGGTGTGTGCGTGCCCAAGATCCCAGGAGGAAAATGGAGGAGAGGGGATTGCGGCGTGACCATCCCCTCTGGGGGGTGATTTCTCGCTTTGTCTCTATGTCTCTCTCTGGCGAGCGCACACGCCCTATAGTGAAAAAAACTCTCAAAAAACAATGTGTTATAAAAACAGAATATGTGGGATAAAAAATTAAATCAAAGACAGAGAATTAGTAAAAAGTAAAGAATAAGGGACCAGCCATTGGCATAATGGCTAAGTCACTGGACTCCCATGTAGTTAACCGCGGTTTGAGTCCCAGACCCAGTGGCTTAAACTCAAGCCAGGTGCATGTGTATGCATTCCCAGGATCCCAAGAGGAGAATGGGGGAGAAGGGAGTGTGGCATGGTCATCCACCCAGGGGGTGATTTCTTGCTTTCTGTCTCTCTGTCTCTCTCTGTCTTTCTGGTGAGCACAAATGCCCTACAGCAAAAAACCTCCCCCCTCCCCCCCCAAAAAAAAGTGAAAAATAAATACTCATCATACTAAGAGTTGGCAAGAATGTGGATCAACTGAAGCTTTCCTGCACTACTGGGGAGAATATAGAGTGGTACATTGCCTTGGAAAGCATTTTAGCATTTTTCTTTAAAAAGTTAAACATACACATAGCATAGAATCCAGTCATTCCCCTCAAGGTATTTACCCAAGGGAAATGAAAGCAAATGTCTGCACCAAGACTTGCACACGTATGTCACAAATGTTTTTTGGTTTTTTTTCGGATAGGATTTTTAAAAATAGGGTACGTGCACTCGCCAGGCAGACAGAGACAGAGAGACAGAAAGCAAGAAATCACCCCCTGGAGGGGATGGCCATGCCGCAGTCCCTTCTCCTCCATTCTCCTCTCAGGATCTTGGGCACACACACACGCACACACGCCCGGCGTGGGTTTTAAGCCACCGGGTCCGGGACACAAACTGTGGTCGACTACATGGGAGTTCAGCGACATAGCCGTTATGCTAACTGCTGGTCCCGCACACAGATGTTAATAGCACACTTATATATGAGTCAAAAACTTGAGACAACCCAGATGTCTGTCACTGAGTGAATAACAAGTTTTGATATATGTACATATAACAGGAGACTCCTTAGAAACAAAAAAGAAGTAATATATGGATACACGTGCAACAATATAGAATAATCTTTTTTTTTCCTATAATTCTTAATTTTTTGGAGAGGTTTTTGCTATAGGGCGCGTGCGCTCGCCAGAAAGATAGAGACAGAGAGACAGAAAGCGAGAAATCACCCCCCAGGGGGGATGGCCATGCCATAATCCATTCTCCTCTCGGGATCTTGGGCATGCATGCACACACGCCCATCGTGAGTTTAAGCCACTGGGTCCAGGACTCGAACCATGGCCGAGTACATGGGAGTCCAGTGACATAGCCATTACGCTAACTGCTGGTCCCCAATATGTAAGAATTTTAAAGTAATTATTCTGAGTTAAAGAAGTCAGACAAGAAGGAATTCATACTGTATGATTCCACTTCTGTAAAATTCTAGAAAATGCAATCAGTGATTTCCTGGCACCAGGAGAGGCAGAGAAAGGCAATGAATGTACAGGGACATGAGTATACTCTTGGGGGTGATAGGTATGTTCACTGTCTTGAATGTGTTGATGGCATCATGAATACATAAATAAATAAAAATTTGGCAAATTGAATAAGTGAAACTTTAATTAAAGCTAGAAGCACATGCATACATAATCACTGTTTTCTCTAGCCTTCTCCCTTTTTTTGGTGGGGGGGAGATTTTTTGCTATAGGGTGCATGTGCTCTCCACAAAGACAGAGAAAAACAGAGACAGAAAGCGAGAAATCACCCCCTGGAGGGGATGGCCATGCCGCAGTCCCTTCTCCTCCATTCTCTCAGTATCTTGGGCACGCACGCACACGTGCCCAGTGTGAGTTTAAGCCACCGAGTCCAGGATTCAAACTGTAGTCAGCCACATGGGAGTCCAGTGACATAGCTATTACGCTAACTCCTGGTCCCATCTGGCCTTTTCCCTTTTCAAGAGGTAGTCACTGTTATGTGCATGTATTTCCAGAATATTATATAAAACATGTATTTGCAACATAGGTATGCAGCTTGCCTTTTTTAAAACTTAATATCATACAAATCTTTTCACATCGATACCTGTAGTCCTATTTTTTGTAGTAGCTGTCTAGTTTCCTATTACATGCTATACCATGTTGTATTTACCAGCACTCTTATTTTTTTCCATTTTTTTAAAAGAATTATTTAATATTAACTTTATTTATTTAACTTTATTAATAAATATTTAACTTCATTTATTTAATCAATCAATCAATCAATCTGACCAGAGAAGGACAGAGTTAGAGAGAGGGAGAGGTAAAGCAAGAAAGCAAGCGTCCAGGTCTGGGATTCAACCTGCAGTCAGCCATGTGGGACTTCAACACTGTTACGCCACCTGCCAGCCCCTTTCCAACACTGTTACTCCCCCAGCAGGCCCCTTTCCTGCCGGCCCCTTTCCAGTTGTTGCATATTTAGATTGTTTCCAGGTTTTTGTCTCTTTCTCTCTCTCTCTCTGTCCCTCTCTGGTCAAATTAAAATATATAAAGAAATAAAGTTAAATAAAATAATAAGGGCTGGTTCCTGGGTGCATCTGCGTGTGTGCCCAGGATCCCGAGAGGAGAGTGAAGGAGAAGGGATTGTGGCGTGGCCATCCCCCTGGGGGGTGATTTCTCACTATCTTTGTCTCCCTGTCTTTCTGGCGAGCACACGCACCCTATAGGGGAAAAAAAAAAAAAAAAGATCAAATGTATGGGAAGTCTGAGAACGGGAAAGGTCTTCATTTCTGTCTCTTCTCTGGTTCTGTTGAGGTTAAAATGATCTAAACCAATTGGCAGCTTTTCAAGCATTTATTTAGAAACTGTTAAATTGAAATAACTGAGTTGGAGGAGCATTAAAGTTAAGATCTAGAAATTCTAAGATCTCAGGGATTTTAGGATCTGCATGCTATCTGAGATATTGTCAATATTCTGCTAATTAATGGTGACTATAAAGTCGAAGTATTGATAGTTCTTGAATACTAAACTTTCATCAGTCCCCAAATACCTCTGAAGATGAGAAGTACTTTGACGACAACAATCTGTGTTGAAATTAAAATCTCCGTTGCTTGTTTTGATCAAAGTAGCTATCAAGGTAACAAGTTTCTCTGATGTAGGAGTTGACTTTTCAAAGAAAGCCTCTTGATTATTCAAATCTCTTTTCTTTTTAGGCGTTTTGGAATAATAGGACTGTACAAAGGCCTTGAAGCCAAACTGCTGCAGACAGTCCTCACTGCTGCTCTCATGTTCCTTGTTTATGAGAAACTGACAGCTGCTACCTTCACAGTCATGGGACTGAAGAATGCACACAAGCACTGAGGCTCCTTGAAAGTGCAGAAGCTTTTCAAGATGGGGGGTTTCCTTCCAAGCAAGGAGAAGCTATTCTCCTTTCACCCAGGCTCCTCCCTCTACGAAGATTACTCTCGTTGGCTTGAAAAACTTCTAAGGGTAAATAGAGTAACCAGCTGGACCTATCACCAACTTAATTTTTATGATGGTTGGTTGGATTTGGGTGAAGGCTGGACTAATATGAACAGAAAACATTATTGAAAACTTAAAAACGAAAGTTTGTGGCAATTTATTGGTTTTCTTAAGAGAGTGGACTATTGCTTTCATTTGTAATCTTTTCCATTTTCTGTTTAAAGTTTTTCTTTACCATTTCCCTGACCTCTCCCCCAGGTTCTAGGTCAAATTTAATAACCTGTTAACTCTCCTTAGATACTTTTATATATCTTAATCTTGGTACTTCCTTCACTAAATGTTATGACTCTGCCGTGGGCATGACTTTATTTTTGTTGGTTTTTTTTCCCCTCCTAATTAAGGAGAGGTGTCTTTAGTACATGAGCTATTTATTTTGTGGGGGAAATGAAATGATTAAATCCTAAGTGATTCTCTTATCAGCCATTTGTAAACATCAATTATTTGTTAATATTTGACATAATTTTTAAAAATATTTATTTTACATCAATTCTTTCACTACAGAAGACTTGAGATTTTATATCCTTAAAAGCCCTAGTCAGTCAAGCCCCAGTAAATGGTCAGCACAATGACCAGCAGTTAGCGTAATGGCTGTGTCGCTGGACTCCCATGTAGTCGACCGGGGTTAAAGTCTTGGACCCGGTGGCCCAAACTCACGCCAGGCACGTGTGTGTGCATGCCCAGGATTCCAAGAGGAGAATGAAGGAGAAGAGACTGCTGCGTGGCCGTCCCGACTGGGGGGTGATTTCTCGCTTTGTCTCTCTGTCTCTCTCTGTCTTTCTGGCGAGTGCGCACACGCCCTATAGTGAAAACCTCTCCAGAAAATAAAATAAAATAGTCAGCACAAAGACACTGTTGAAAATTACTCTTTACTAAGGTCTTACGTTGGGTATGCAACCAGGTGGTAAAAGTCACAAAAAATGGAGGAGAGGGCTATCTTTGTGGCATAGTGGTAGTGTGCTCCTCAAGAGAAGCCAGATCCCACATGGCAGCTGAGGTTTGCATGCCCATACCAATCAGCATGAAACATGTTGAGTGCCCATGATCAAGTGGGCTTGAGGACTGAAGGAAGGAAATTGTGACCAGACCCTATGGTGGATACAGGTCTTTCTCTCATAATCTCATGTGTATGCTTTGTGCTATATCAAGAATAAAGAGGAAGAAAAGGAAGGGGAGCAGGTACTCTGTTTAGGATCTAGGATATTATCTCCCTCTTTAAACTTTTGGTAGAGGCTGCGTATTTTGAGGACAGACATCTGATTGAGCTTATTTAATTTGGAAACATTTCTCAGAGCCCTACTACTCCAGGTGTGGTCCCTCAAACAGTAGCATTGACATCAGCTGAGAGCTTGTCGGGCCTTCAGCCCAGACTTTCTGAATCAGATTCTTGCATTCTAACAAGATCCCCAGGTGATTGTTACTCACATTGAAGTTCAAAAGACACTGGGCCACTGTCCCAGCAGAAGATGTGATTGGTTGCAATTATTAAAACCAACATAAAGATTTTTCTTAAAGGAGGTAGAAAATAATATATTAAACTCACCTATGAAAAATCTGAGAGTCCTATGTCATTGTTTTTACCTCATAGCACACTGTGAAGGTGGGAGGACTTTTATTATGTAGCTAGGAGTGGATTTATACATTACAAGCCCTCACAAAGCAAATTGTCTTGATATTAATAGTACAACTCTTTGGATTTCCTCTTAGTTTTTGTGCTTATAACAAAATGACAGGTTTTTCACTTTCTAAGTCCATGATTCAGTCAGAGGAATTAAAAAATATTTCATTATTTAGTATTTAGTTCAATTGAAGTTTCTTTCTTTCTCACTCTTTAGTCCCTGTGGTCATTTCAAACTATGTGATCATTAAGCTAGTTGTAATTGAAAGATAATTGTGGGGCCAGCAGGTGGCATGATGGTTGAGGCAGTGAACTCTCATATGGCTGACAGTGGTTCATAGTCCTGGACCAGTCATCTCTGGTGAGCACACATGCCCTATAGCTAATTTTTAAAATAATAATAAGGGACTGGCAGGTGGCATGGTGGTTAAGGCACTTACCTGCATGGCCTACCACAGACCAAGTCCTGGACCTGGCAGCTTGCTTTCTCACTTTCTCTTTCTCTGTCTCTGGTCAAATTAAAAAATAAATAATAGTAATAAAAAAATTGAAATCAATACTAATAAATAATTCTTTTAAAAAAAGATTGTAGTGTTTTAGAAAATGGCATATATTTCCTATTGAAGCCAGAAATTTGAAGACAGAATTGGCCCCCTCACTACTTTTTATCTTACTTTAAAGTGTGTGTTGGTTGCTACTGGTCCTGGATGTGAAGCACAAAACTTTTGATTTCTGGGGACCAGCAGTTAGCAAAATGGCTGTGTTGCTGGACTCCGATGTAGTCGACCATGGTTCAAGTCCTGGACCCCGTGACTTAAACTCATGCTGGGCATGTGTGCATGCGTGTCCGGGATCCCAAGAAGAGAATGGAGAAGGGATTGCGGCATGGCCATCGCCCCAGGGGGTGATTTCTCACTTTCTGTCTCTCTCTGGCGAGCGCACACACCTTATAGCAAAGGCCTCTCAAAAAAAAAAAAAAATCGAATTAAAAAAACTTTGATTTCTGTACAGAAGAATGATTATAAAGGTGCCATGTGTAATTTTGTTATTGTTTTAATTATGTTGTTTGCTTTAGAACTTGAATTTTGAGCTCAGTATTGTGGTAGAATGATTTCCAACACAATTATGTTGCTATATGAGGCATTTATATAATGTGAGAATGTATCTAATGCTTCCTTGTTCTCTGATTGTATAATGGAACAATTTAATATTAATACTTTATGTTCTTTAAGGAAGCTTATAGACTCACTAGTTGAAACTAGGTAATCACCTAGTTTTGTAATCTTTGGTTAGTAATAAGTTGTTAAGAAAACTAAAGAGCTGAAGTCCATCCTAGAAAAGTGAAAAATTATTCTCTTTGATTCTTTGTGTTATTTCTCTGGATAAGGATTAAGAACCTTAGAGATTACATTAGTATCACTGCAGTAGAAAATTTAATTTCTGTGTTTAATCTGTGTTTTGAACTGGACACTAATGTTTCTACGCTTGTCTATTTTACAGTTAACTTTAAAATGCAGAAATAGGTTTTACCATAACAACATAAACAGTGGGAGTTAGAAATCTTGGGTTGTATTCCCAGCTCTGCTACCAAGTAGCAGATCACGTCATCTTGTGCTTCGACTCTTTGATAAATGGAGATAATCACACTCACTACCCACTTCAGAGGATGTTTGAGAGTTAATGATGTCAGCTAAATCCCTTTATGATTGTGGGATACGGGAAATCTGAGTGAAACTTGTGGCAGTGCCTAGATTTATATAGTAATTTCCCTTCTTAAAGCTTATACACTTTCTCATTTTATATTCTCAATATCTGTGAAATAGGTAGGGACGAGGAACAATATCCCCATTTAATTAACAAGGAAATTGAGATAACTATCAAATGACTTGCATCTTGGGAGCCAGGACTAAGTTGAATTTCCTGCAGTCTAGGGTAATGACTAAGAGAATGGGTTCTGAAATTAGATAGACCGAGGTCAGACTCTGGCTCTACTCCTTACCTGCTGTGGAAACAAACCAATTACTGAACTTTTATGAAACTCAGTTTCCTCAACTGTGTAATAGAGATCTTGATAAACCTACCACAGAGGACGATTCTGAGTGTTAAATGAGATCATGTGCATAAATGGCTTAGCATAGCACTTGCCACGTGAGAAGAGCTAGAGTAATGTTAGTGACGATTATTAGTAGTATTGATTAGGGATATGGCATTTGAATAGATGTATCTGTGGTCCAGTAGAAGACAAGCTCAATTTTAAACCACACCTAAATTCTTTTTCTTTTGAGAGAGATTTTTGCTATAGAGTGTGTGTATTCACCAGAGAGACAGAAATCAAGAAATCACCCTCAGAGGGCATGACTACGCCACAATCCCTTCTCCTTTAGTCTCCTCTTGGGCTTTTGGGCACACACACACATACATGCCCAGTATGAGTTTTAAGTCACCAAGTCTGGGACTTGATCCGCAGTCGACTACATGGGAGTCCAGCAACGTAACCATTATACTATCTGCTGGTCCTACCACACCTAGATTCTAATTTTCATTCTATTACTTAATGACATGTGGCCACACAGACAAATCACTTACCTTTTCTGAGCTTCTGTGTCCCCATCTGTCAAATAGGATATTCGGAAAATTAAATAAGGTGACAAGTAGGTAGCATGGTGGTCAAGGCTTTGGACACTCCCACATGACCAATTATGGGTCAAGTCCTGGACCTGGTGGCTTGCTTTCTCACTCTCTCTGTCTGTCTCTGTCTCTGTCTCTATCTCACTCTGGTCAAATTAAGAAAAAGGAAAAAAAGGATAAATTAAATAACTCTTTTTAAAAAAAATAAATAAGGTGCATTCATACCGCTAATGTGAATGCATCTGGTGTAGTTTATGGCAGATATAAGTGCTTAGTAAGTGCTGTTGTGGGGCTGGCCTTGATCCCACATGGCTGACTACAGACCTGGCAGCTTGCAAAACACACTGGGCACAATCATGTGCATATATAAAATCCCCAAAGGAGGATAGATGGAGGAGAAGGGATTGTGGCTCCACTGGGGGGTACTCTCATTTTCTCTCTCTCTCTGTATGTCTGTCTGACAAGCATATGTACCTTATGGCAAATTTAATAATAATAATAAATGCTGATTTTTTTTTAATTGCTCGGAGCCTGTGTGCTCACAAGAGAGAAAAAGAGCACCTACTCCAGTGGAACATGGTCATACCGCAGTCATTTTTCCATTCCTCCCTCCCATTATTTTGGGTACACACATGCACATGACCCAGCATGCTTCTTTTTTCAATATATACAACGGAATGTTTTTTTTTCTTTTGGAGAGGTTTTTGCTATAGGGTACGTGCGCTTGCCAGAAAAAAGAGACAGAAAGTGAGAAGCCACTCCCTGGGCTGATGGCCACACCACAATCCCTTCTCCTCCATTCTCCTCTCAGGATCTTGGGCATGCATGCATATGGCCCGGTGTGAGTTTAAGCCACTGGGTCCAGGACTCAAACCACAGTCGACTACATGGGAGTTCGGCGACATAGCCATT